CGACATATAAGGCACTAACCACCTTGGGACTGGGATTCACCGTAGCGACCGGGCCAAGCCCCAGGATCGTCTAGGAAACCTTCTATCTGTGGGGAACCGGGCAGTGCCATCAGGTGGACCTTGTGGGACAGCCTGCCGTTGGGGCACTTGCACTTACACGAGTGCTGGTTCTTTTCGGGGCATTCCCCTCCCCCCCCCCCCCGCAGACTCACGCTCGTAGCCAACAGGGTGAGGAGCCTTCTTCTCGTACGCCACGTCCAGATCCGATTCGTTCCAGCCTTTCGGCACTCTCCTGCGGATCACCAGGTCGTCTGCAGAAAAGAAACACCCAGGATGGCATCAGAAGCTGTTCTCCACTTGCCTGTCACGGGCTGTGGGAACAACTGGGGAAAAAGCCACTCGGGCACTCTTCACCAGACCACCGCAAAGCCGAGATTTAGGGGAGCGTCTGAACGGCTCCTTGTGGAGGAGAGCGACGTCGCAGGACTACAGCTCCCAGCCTCTGCTGCCAGGAGGTCCCTGCTGCTTTGAAGGATGGGTGCGTGTCCAATCCAGCTAGAGAACCCAGGCGGGAACAGTTCAACACACGGCGTCCAAGCTCTCTGCTTAAATTGGGTTACTGCTATTTAAAAGGCAAGGCGTTTACCTTTTACAGCGCCAAATTAAAAACAGAGAAAGGTGGGTATGGAGTGGGGGGCAGTTAAAACGGTGCTAAAGGATATGTATTGGCTACCAAGACTCGGGAATCTTCAGAACTCTACAACAGAAAAGCTGCAACCGGTTTTTAACATTTTTCTGACTTCTCCTCCTCTGGCATCTAGTTTCACCTTGCTGTTCTGCTCATCGTTCAGAGGTTCAAAGAAACAAACAGGACATAAAAGGAACATTGCTCCCTCCCCACCAGAAATCTCGCTGAGCCAAGTCGGTTTCCGGCACCCACCAAGTCTTGCCTGTACACGTTTAAGCGCTCTCACAAGAGCTAGAAACTTGACACTCAGAGCTTAGGTTCCTTAGGAGGGCACATTCCAACTCCAGTGCCTCATCCTGCAGCATTTCAGCCGACACACCCATTGTCTGCAGCCTGAATGTTCCTCCATAATTACTCGCTTAAACGCCTGAGAGAGATTTAAACCTGGTTATACTTCAGGCGCTGCGCAGCTGCGTTTCACCGAAACAATCAAAAAGGGCCAACAGTTCCGGCAGCCATTTACCTTGAGCCCAGAAGGAGCCTGGCGCCGAAGGATACAGGCTGTGGTTCTCGTAGGGGGGAGGGAGAGGTGGGCGCGGGGAGGGTCCTCGGTCCGGGAAGAACGCCTGAGACATGGAGCCTTCCACCGGCAGCCGCGGAGAGCCTGCCCGCCCCCCCACCCGCCGGTGGCAGTGAATGGCCGGTAGTCAAACTGGCGCTCCGGGAGGGCAGCAGGACGGAGGGAGTGGGGAGAGCCGCTGTGGGTCACAGGGCCGGGTGGGGCCTCGTAAGGGATGGCCATGACCTTG